TGTTTACAGCCGGTGCACATGACTTGTAAACAACTAACTACAGTGTTGGTTAGGCAAGGCGGAGAAGTGAGGAGCGGGGGGAGCGGGTGTGCGGACATTTCGTTCGCGGACGAGAAGTGAGGAGCAGGGAGCGAGGAGAGGAGAGAGGAGAGAGGAGAGGGGAGCGGTGCGCGGAGATTCCGTGCCCGGAGAAGTGAGGAGCAGGGGGAAGAGCGGAACGGGCAGCGGGGAGAGGAGCAGGAAAGGGGAGCAGAGAAGAGTGCGCGGAGATTCAGTGCGAATGAACTAGCTACAACACGCAGCAGCAAGCGGACTCTTTCTTTGCCTTGAAAATTACGTTTTCAGACATAGGATATCGCTTTCGTGTCCTGAAAAACGTTTGACTAGCTCTTGGAAATAAAGTACGTTTTCATAATAAGCAGAAGTTTCCTGTCCAGGAGTAATTTGGCGACCAGTGCGTCAGTCTTTAGACCCTGCGTCTGCTTCAGTCGCGCCATCGCTGGAATGAATCTTCAAGAATCACCTTAGTTTGGCTTCGCTGCTTTTCCCCTTGTCTTCTTCTTTCAGCGACCTCAAAAACGGACTTTCTTTTGCGGCTAACTGCTCCTGGATTCTTGTCGCCATTGCAACAAACTTTGTGCTAACTGCGAGGAAGATATAGGTCAAAAAAAGCCGCTAAGAACTGTTGCGTTGGTGGAGTAAACAGCGTCTGTGCGTCTTGCGTCTGTGGACTGCGTGACAGGCGTACGTAAACCACGTACCGGCGGCGCGCAGGCAAGTCAGTTACGCTAGAAACGTAGGGAGATTGATTGACAGCCTGTCAGCTAACAGATAACGAGGCAGTGTCGTTATCTATTGGCAAATGTTTAGCCCCACCACGTCCAGAGTTGATGAATTTTTATTCTCTTTTTTTTGGTCATCATAATTACAAGGCTACTGCACCTCTATAATGCTATCATTGACAATTTGAAACAAAAAAAACAAAACAAAAATCCTCCATACAACCTTTAATAAAAAATCTCATTACTCAAAAAGTAAGAGGTTTTTCAACCTAATCTTGTACCATATGGTAGAAAACTATATGAAGCAAATATTCAAACCAGTTTGTTAAGGGTATGTAAGTGAGAACCAATAGTTATCTATCTATCAATCTATCTATTTATGGTAAATAGTGCCACCTTCAGGCACTCATGGCGCTTTACAGCAAGGAACCACTCACCCATTCACACACACATTCATACACCAGTGTACATTGGGGGTGGGGTGTTTTGCACAAGGGCACAGTGGCAGTATTAATCTGTGGGTGATCAGATTTGACCGCTCTCCCAATGATGTTTTATGTCAAGAGCAGGATGCAAATTGCCAACTTTTGATTCAGCGGACAAACCCTATACAAACTGAGCTACTGTCACCCCATCTCTCCATTTATCTATCTATTTATTGCTCAAGGGCACAGCGGCAGCATTAATCTGTGGGTGAGTGGATTTGACCGCTCTCCCAATGATGTTTTATGTCAAGAGCGGGATTCAAACTGCCAACTTTCAGATGAGTGGACAAACCCTCTACCTCCCTCTCTATCTTCTCCTCTCTCTATTTCTCTCTCTTATCTATCTCTTTCTATTTTATCTATCTATGTTTAGGAGAAATAAATAAATATAGATAGTTCTGACACTCTTCTTTAGTACGAATTCAATCTTTGTAGTGATAGAAAACACCTAAACAGAGATTTGCATAAAATTAATTTGCAATAAGCCTCAGTCCTCCCAGATGTATTTACTGCTTAAGATTCGTCATGTGTGTTATCGCCGTCATCTACAGTGCGGAAAGGAAATTCATTAGCTTGAATTGTTTGTAAATTACAAACTGCCAGGTCTTATTATATTAATTTGGGTACCAGTTGTTGTTGTTTTAAAGCTCCTATATTACGTGAAAGCTCAAAATTGTTCCAAATTGTGATGTCATGAAGCAGTAGCATCTTTTACCTTTCTTTCAGTAGACATGGGAAATTCCAGGGCTGAGATTGTCAAGTGAAGGTGTACGGAGTTTAAAAACACAGTGAAGCCCTTCCTGTATTACCACATGATATCACAAGGTGGAACAGAGCTTTTTGTTTCATGTTTGAATGAACCAAAATATGAGAACATAGATCAGAAAATAGTGTAATATGGGCCCTTCACATATAAACATTACACTTTGAATTGAGCCATTGAATCAACTTTATTATGGCACTTTGTACAAGTCACAAACTCAACATTCAAAGTTCAAACAGCTTTTAAAAACACAACAGATACAAACAGGGTCATGAGCTGTGTCCCATTCATACAGTCAGTCTGCCTGGAGATCGCTTCAGTCAATTCTTTTATTTGTGTTTCCTGGCAACAGACGTCCGATTTCAATACTTTAACATTTTTAACATTTGGACAAGGACAACACACTGACTTTTAGCGAGACAGTAAGCATTATATCAATATTTTTATTTGAAATCATAATTTAAACCATTATTTTCATTACTTCAACATTTATTTATTTATTTAAGCCAAAAAGTATGAAATAATATGAATGATTTGTAATTTCTTTGTGTTTTCGTTGTCACTGTGGATTAAGGTTTTGTGGGGTAATATTCAGAACATCTCTATTTTTTCTCTCTCAATTACACATTTTTTCTACTTAAAGCTACCATACATACTTAGGCTGGCGGACCCACCCCGTTGTATTCTCAGATGTCACCACTGGATGCTGTCAACGTTACTTCTGTCTGATGATGTGTCAGCTTCAGAGTAACAGAAGAAAACCAGAGAGGTGGATTTAAATAAAGGGCAGGTGAGGGTAGAGGCGAACAGGTCTCAAATCTGCTATCTACTGGTGAAAATAAATCCTGATGGTAGCTTTAAGTGGAACACTACTGGACCGAGATAGACCGATACACTGGTTGGCCGGTATACCAGGCTGATATTTGCACTTTTTAATGAATCTGGCCTTAAATTTCCAGCACAGGCCAATATTTTGTTTTGGCTGACCTGCTCCTTTGAACATTTTCGCGCAAAGAAATAACTTCATTAGGCCACAAAACATAACTACGCAGCTCCCTTACATGTTCATGATTTTTCAAAAGTGCTCTGTCTGAGTAGCTATTTAAATAACACAATTTGGGGAAAAATGACCAAAATCGGCTTTACATATTGGCCCAAGAATATCGGCGGAGCTTATAGGCCATCAGTTTCTCTGGAGTCTGAACAATCAGTATCGTCATTGGTCTTGGAAAACTCAAATCGTTCACAATTAAAATTCAATCATTTCTGTTTTAGTTTAGTTTAGCTTTAATAAGTGGCAAACAAATAAGAAATAAGAATAATTTACCCTGAACAGTAAAGGTTCACTGTGTAACTTTTCGGGTGGAGAGTTCATCAAATGTTTTTCTCCATGGACATATTATTACTTAGTATGGTATTAAACCTTTCTATCTTCCTAGAGACTAAACCAGAACAAGTCAGATCTGTGGAGAGGCAGCCCCGCTCACAGTCAGAATGCATGTTTTTCTGATATTTTTGAGTAAGGAAGAGCTATTTTTAACATCATACTGTGGAATATTCCAGGCAGAGCAGTGACATATCCATAGAAACAAGCAATTGATGGACCCCTAACCGAAAAGTTACACAGTGGACCTTTAAGAGGACAGACATCTCCATTCACAACATTCAAATACAGAAATGAGGAGCTCTACAAAAGTCCTTCCAGTCATTGGGATTGCAGGTAAACAGGTTGCATTGAAGTGCTACGAGTGTTTTCGTTGGCACAAGAGAAACTTACTTTACAGTATTTACACTTAAGATTACGTTAAGTCATGCTTGTAAAAATATCACATTCCTTATATCAAATCATAAATAATAAACAACAACATTGGTTTCAAAGAGCATTCATTTTCGTTGTCATGGCTACGGCTGAGTGGATGGCTGCTTTGTTTTGCTGCTTGCTGCGGTACTACGGAGAAGTGGTCGGGAAGCATTCAGTTAAAGGAAAACGGAGAGAAAGTCCATGCTACGGTGGCCCACAAGAGTCAAAATAAAGCTGCAGTTTGTCCGGTTGTTGGCGATAGCTACTGTGAGGAAGTGAGGTGATGAAGGTCCCATTTTATGCTGAATCGACTTTTTGAGACTTCGTTTAATGGTCTCTCAATAAAAACTACCTTAAGTTGTATTGGAATCACTTTATATTAGCAACATCTTAATTTGCCCTAAAAGCCAAGAAGATTTAATTTGTAATGAACAGATTTATTTAGAATTATTCAGGCTTAGTAACTACTCAATTAATATCCAAATCTGAGCTGTAGCAAAATGAATAAATGACTTTTCTGAATTATTATAGATACAAACTAAGTACTAAAGAGTTAAAATCAGCTATTTATTTATTTGTTTGTTTATTTATTAAAGTTTCTGTTTTAAACCATAGTAAAGAGTTTAGAACAATCAGGATAATTCTACTTTTTACTTATTACTGTGTCAGTGGTATGAATTAGTCTCAATATTATCATTTATGGTTTATATTTTTTTCTACAAAATGTCATACTTCAGCATTTGTTATCATGACAGGCTTGCCTCTTCATTGAGCAGTTTAAAACCTCAATATATCTGTTCATTAAAATTTAGGCAAATAGTGTAATATAGTTAAGAATTGTTAAAATTTCTTGTATTTTTTGTATTCTGAAAGTTGCCCTCTCTGAATAGACAAAATAGTCGTTCATGTTGCTTATTCCGTTTTAATGTTCGGTCATTCCTTGCTATCCAAAAAAGAAAACAGTAACTAATTCAAAAAGCCTGAAAAGCATAACACGGGCCCTTTTAAATGTTACCTGAATTCATGAGAAACAAAGAGGACGTAGGACCACTTGTATGACATCATCGTCTCCCTTTGGTTCCTGGTTTGGGGACTGTCCCATCGGAGTCCATTGCAGGGGGAGGTCCGGCAGGCCTCTGGGGTGGGCAGGGTCGGTGGGGTGGACGGGGTCACGGGCGCACCCAGCTGAGGGGCACCCAAAAGGCCTCTCTCTCCAGCCGCTCCAGGACCCCCCTGAGCTCCGCACAGGCGCTGGCCGAGTCCTCTTTGATCAGAACCCGGTCGACCATGTGACCGTACTGCTGCTCGATCTGTGCCGCCGACTGACGCATCTCCTGCAGGTCCTCGTCCTGAAAACACAAGGGTCAGGGTGGGGTGAACATTTTACGTCAGTGAGAGAGAGCTGCAACTGAGAAACTGAGGGTTTTTTTAACTTTAAGAATTGTCAGATTTATTTTTTTTTAAATATATAATTAGGTCCTTGTTAAATTTAGGGCTACAGATAACATTTATTTTCTTACTGATTAATATAATGACTTATTTTTTCGATTATTTGACTGAACTATCGGCTATTTTTCAGATTAATTGATTAATTAAATGATAACTTATAATACACTGGTGAATTTAAAACAATATTGTCAGTAATTTTGGAGGCTCCACAGAAACTCACCGTGATGCGTCCGTGGTCTCCCCCTCCTGGTGATGTTGCAGCGCTGCGTCTCCTTCTGCTCTCCGGGATTCGAGGTTTCACAAAGATCACGTAGGGCTTGAACTCAGCGGTCCGCAGACGCCTCAGAGCCTGAGAATAACATTATATGAGATTTCAATATTACGTTCCAATGTTGGTTTGGTTATGGATTAAAGATCTGTAGCTCAGTGACGTGTACCTCTGGCTGTACGTCCACGATACACATCTTGTTCTTGGCCTGGACTGAGCGGATGGCCTCTATACTGGTTCCATACTGGTTCTCTTTATATTCACCGTGCTCTATGAATCTAAACAAAACAGGTGATGGTGTTTTAGTGCACACAAAAAAATAAACAACTGACCTCATATCAACTTTATTTGTTTGTTTAATTCCACTGAAATCCTACTTGTTGTTGATAACATCTGCATCAAACTGCTGCTTGGTGACAAAATGGTATTCGACTCCTTCCTTCTCATGGGGCTTTTTGGGTCTTGTTGTGTCTGAAAACAGAATAAATGCGTAATATAAAAATTATGGCATCAGTCTAGTGCCAGCTTGGTCGTAAACAAAGAAATAGGATTTTAAGTGTCTTCCTGGAAGCTTAAAGGTGCCTTGTGTAACTTTTCTGGTAAATGGTCCTACAAATTCTTTTCTCTCTCTATGGAGATGTTATTGCTTTGTCTGGAAGTTTTCACAGTATTGTATCGTCATTGAGACCAAACCAGACCAAATTATAGGTCAGATCTGTGGAGAAGCAAACCCGCTCACAGTCAGAATGCCTGTTTTTCTAGGTATTTTTGAGCTATAAAATCACCTGTAATTCAATAAATGTAAGTTAGAGATGTTAATCACACTGCAGACCATTCTAACAGAACAATGACATCTCCATAGAAACAAGCAAAATACGTTACATAAGTACATAATGCACCTTTAAACGTCCCTTTAGAGTTATAAGATAAAAAAGTGTTTATTTTGTGTTATTGAGTTAAATGTTAATAAAAACTCATCTTTTGTATGACATTCATGATTCTAAAGTACAGCTCTGTACCCTTTACTTTAGTTTCCACTGAAGTTAACATATTGACTCTACATTAAGTATTGCCCTTGTGCAGGGGACAGTAGGAGCTGAAGACTTACGAGGTACAGCCACTGCGTATCGATGAGGGTTTTCTGCGATCACGCGCTGTTTGAGCTCATTGATCCGAGCTCCAAGAGAACCTGAACAAAGAGAGGACAAAGTCAGAACTTTTAGAAGAAATATAGACTTTCATGTGACTTTTTTTCAATAAATGTATAAATAATGCATACATTTAAGTTTTAGCTGTTAAAGTTTGCGTAGTTTTGCAAAGGTTAATTGCATCTGATGAGCGAGAGTTTAGTTTGAGTTTGAGAGTTTAGTTTAGAAACTCAACTCAGCTTCTGACTAGTCCTTATACTAGAGTAGTCATAAGTACACATAAAATTATGGCAGAAATAGTTGTCCTTCTACAAATTGTATAAAATCTGTTTCCAATGGACAAATAATAGAGCCTTAATGTATATAACTGCATTGTTATTTCTAGATAAAAGTAAGATAAATTCAAAATAATATGCAGACAATAAAAAAAGAGTCCGATTACTAATACTGTAACTACTTCAGCAATTAATGGAAAAAGATTCTAATCACTACAGTAATTTTCATAGTGGATCAGTATATGTTTGTGTACTACTACTTCTGCTACTACCACAAACAACAGTAAGTTATGATCACTACTTGTAAGTGCCAGTTTCTCCCAACAGGTGTCAGTGCAGAGTCTCACCGATGAGCACCACGAGCCTGGGTCTCTCGTTGGGTCTCTGCTGATAACGTGTCACCTCCTCGTACGTCAGGAAGTCTGAGTCTCCAGAGTCTGAACCCTCTCCACACGAACCCTGTCTGTCCTTACGACTGAGACGAAAACTCCTCCGCAGACCAGCTGATGAGCGAGAAGAGAGATGCAGAAGGAGGGAGAGTGGAGGTGAAGAGGGAAGGGAGGGGGTTAAGAGAGATGAAGAGATTTGGGGTGGAGAGATAAGAGAGCAGGGGAGAGACAGAAGGAGAGAGAGAGAACGAGAGAAAAAGGGGGAGAGAGAGAGAGGAAGAGAGAAGGAGTGGAAAGGGATGGAGTGAGTGAGAGGGGAAGCAGGAGGTAAGAATATGGTGAGAGAGGTAGAGAGACAGAAAGAGAGGGGTAAGATCATATATAGAGAGAAAAGGGAACAGAGAGGAAGGGGGAAAGCAGGAGAAGAAAGAGGGGGTATAGAGAGGAAGAGAGAGGAGGAGGAGAGAAGGGTTAGAGAGGGATGGAGTGAGAGAGAGAGGAGAGGGAGCAGGAGGGTGAGAGAGTGGGTAGAGAGACAGAAAGAGAGAAAGGGATAAGGTCATATAGAGAGAGAAAAGGGAACAGAGAGGAAGGGGAAAGAAGGAGATATAAAGAGGGGGTATAGAGAGGGAGAGAGAGATGAGTGGAGAAGAAAGAGAAAGAGAAGAGAGGAAGCCACACAGAAAGAAAGACAGAGAGCAAGAGAGAGAGAGAAAGAAAGGAATTGGACAGAGGAAAAAAAGAATGACAAAAGATTAAGTCAAACATGTTTTAGGCACACAGACATTAGAACAGAGGTTAGTTCAGTGGCATGATGCAGACATAATGCAGTCAGAATCAAACGGCCTTTATCATAAACATTGTGCATTGGAGCTCATGCATTAAAACGTCCTTTGTTTTGTTAAAGCCAAAAGTCTGATTTCTGTGAACACAAGGAGAGGCAGACAGAGGCGGAAGAAAAAAAGATACTTCAGCTATATTAATTAAAAAAAAGACAACTACTGTTCCACCTTGTGATGTCATGAAGCAATAGTTTAAGTTAACAGCTACTTTTTACCTTTTACAGAGCAGATATTGGGAATTTCTGGGCTCAAGCACTTCCTGTATTACCACATGACATCACAAGGTGGAACAGTGTTTTCTCACTTTAAACATGTAAATGAAACAAAACACAACTCCAGTTACGTTTTTGATAAAGAAACAACATTATAACATATCAGAAAATAGCTTAGTATAAACCATTTAAGCTTGTGTGTATGCCCAATTTGTTTTTCAAAACCTCCTTACCCTCTGGCTTTCTCTCCAAGTGAATATATCGAGTAATTTTCCACCTCTGCTGACAGTTCAAATCGAAACACTGTGCATAAAAAACCTTATCATCCGTCATGCATGTTAAAGTAAAATAGATAAGTTCGATGTATGCTTTAGTACATTATCATATCATTATGTATCATGCTGCCTTATAGAGTATGTGTTCAACTATGAGGCAGGATCAGCAGACAGCCTACTCCCAGGACCCAAAAAAAAATCTCCCATAATCCTCCTGGGAAGAGGTGTGTCTGCTCCTGTCAGTGCAGTGAACCCGCGGAGTGAAGCCGAGGCACTGTACCTGAGTAAAACTCCCATGAAAACACCTGGCCACAGGAGGGCGCCACTGCTTTACACTTAGGAGAGACTGTAAGTGCCGTTAGAGCATGACACAACCCACAGCGCCCCACGGTGGAGAGCGAGCAAAGGACAACAGCGTGCCTGGGTCGAGTGAAATGCAACCAACGCGCAGCAGGGCAGACTCCACAGAGCACAGGGGGAGGAGGGGGGAGAGGGGGGAGTCTGGGGGGGGTAAGGGAGAGGGCGGGGCGACTGGCAAAGAGGGGACACGGAGGAGGGTCTGGGGGCAAATACAGCTCAGAGGAGGGAGTGCAGAGGGAGGGGTGTTAAAGCACAAAGCAGTACAGACAGGAGCAGGAGATACAAGGGGCTTCATTCAGTGAGTGTGTATGGGCACGTGAGCTCATACTGGACGGTTAAATAGGTAAACAGGACGTCACAGACTACAGTGGTGTGGTGGTGGGTAGAAGTACACGGCAAAGCAGGTAAGAGGAAGGCTGAAAATGGTTAACAAAATGTAAAATTCAACTAGTCTTAGCAGTAAACACTGGCTAACTTATCAAATAGGCCTTTTAGTAAGTAACTGGATCTTGTAAGTATTCCAAGTATTCAGAATACAGTACTCTGATTGGACCATGTATTAGAATACTTTTTAATAAAGGTATTCCGTATTCTGTAACTAAATTCATTTTCTTAAGTATTCTTCCCATCACTGCCCTGTTATCCTAGCCTGATTCATCAGCTGGTTTCACTTTGTGGACACCGTCTGACCATGCAGCATTAGGATTCGTTCGCTCGACAGTAGGTTCGTACTTTCATTGTTGTTTCTGTGAGTTGAACTTGTGAATTAAAGGTGCAATAAAAAAATGCAAAGTTTGTATTTGACAAATGAAGTCTAAAGGAGGATAGCGTATGCAGTCTGCTATTGCAGCTCGGGTTGGTTCAGCTCTTCGCTGATTGGCCGGAGCCCAGTCTACAACTTCCAGTGTTCTTGAAAACTGTCGAATTCCTGACTGAGTGGAGCAACTAGGTGGCGCCAGCCTGGCTACTGTTATTTTACATTCTAAAATAATAAGACCAGCACCTTTCTGAAGTTCAATTATCATTAATAAATATTCAAAAGAAAGAAAAATGTATCCTCAGGTAAATCATTTATCATAGAAACAAGGTCCAATGCTTCACTATATTTAACCAACCACACCACAAAATCTGCATTTTATCAACTGACATTTCACCACCAGCTCAGTGAAATATTGCAAGCCTAAATGTCATTTGGAAACTTGCCATAATGTGTGTTTTTTGTTTATATTTTATGTAATTTTAGTGATATACCTTTCTAGTCTCTTCCTACAAACGTGGACCATTACTTGTACTGTAATGATATAAATTAATAGTTGTCTTATGCTGTGTTCAAATTCAAATCAAAATCCTCAAATTGAAACGTGTTTACGCACTGTGAATTTGATAGATTTTGACAAATTTTTCAGATTTTTCAACTTTGGTGCCTGAACACTTGAAACACACTGTGGAACTGGTGGACTAGACAAGATGCTTGTTTGTAAAGCCAACGCCAGTGACACCACAATAAAATACAGTATAATGTGAGCTACTCACTGACAAAGCACATGTGGCCTATGCCTTTCAATATACAGAACTTTCACATAAATGCCCATATAAAGAAAATAAAGCGATTCCTGGCTTTCTACACTTCCTGATAATGAATAATTTTAAGGTAGTATTTTGCCCCAACAGTCTGCCCATCCATCTGTGTTGTATCTGACCTCTTCCTCTCTGCAGTCCCTCATGGTTGTGTCTTTTACCCCTTAAACCTTCCTCTTACCCTCACCCAGGGCCAGAGATCAGAGAAGGGCGACCCCTAGAGGGATGGGGGTGTAAAGCAGCAGCAGCGCGGGCAACAGAACAGAGCCAGGCTGCAGCAGGCACAGAGCAGAGGAGGAAGAGGAGGAGGAAGAGGAGGAGAGGAGGTGCACGCGCTCACCTATGTACTGTCCATTGAAATAGCCCTCACAATCACAGTCTTCTGTAAGGAGCAAGCAGGGAGAAGATGGGGTCAGCAAAGGGTTAAAGGGTTAAAGTTAAAGGGACGGGGTTAGAATTAGGGTAAGGGGGTGAATTTGGGGGGGCCTAGGCAGCAGGCAGCGGGAGGGGCAGCCACAGCTATCAAATCTACAAACGGGAATTAGCATCACAGAAAGATCTAGTGCCAACTCGAAAGAACTACAGACCTTTCAAAACAGCACACACACCCAGACACACACATATACATATACACACACACGCGCACACCAAATTTTTATTCCAAACTACAAACTTTATAAACTTTGTTCATAAAAATGTAGGTCTAGGTTACATGGGTATTTAGGGCTGCAAATGAGCATTGAAACTGAATTTAGGTATTACACATAGATGCTGCTATATTAAATGATTTGGCATATAGTGTTTCAAAATACCATAATGGGATTAGTATTTACTTTGCAGTGACATCACGCTGGGGGTTTTTGCACATGTATCTCGATTGGCCGAATGTTCAGTAGCATGGTGACACAACGCACTTATTAGCAAAAACAGACAAAAAAAAGTTTTAACATAAAATATGAGAAAATACGACTTTTACGGAAAAAAATATAAATTGGATTTAAACAACTCATTTTGAGGAGCCTGTGATCAATAATTGTTCATGGTCCTGTTTAGGAGTCAGATTTTAACACAAATGTGAGAGTGACTAACTGAAAATCTGTATGACTTATGACTCTAATTATGTGTGAGCGACTTGTTTAACAGCATAAATCATCTCACTCCGTGTAGTTCCATCTAAGTCAGCTCTTTCTGATCAGACTATTTTAAATCTGTCTGAAGCTCAGTTAGTCAAATTACAACTTTAGTAGTAGTAGTGCTTCCAGTTAGCTTCACACCCCCAGAAAATGGTGATGACATCAGCTGCAAAGTATCAAATGAAGTGACTCTAAAAGATGCACTACGTAAACAACACCACCAGACCAAGTTACAGTTCAAATCTGTGGAGAGCCAGGTTTTTCCAAGGTATTTTTGAGAAATAAAAACACTTCCATCTGAATAAAAGGCAAAACAATAAAATCATAGACAAGCAGGTGGTGGACCTTCCATTTGAAAAGTTACATAGTGTATCTTTAACATGGTACTTCAATTTAGTTTTTTTCTTGTAAACAGGTACAAGATCACTTTTTCTGCTGTTCTGTTGTATCTAATACAGGTTAAAATTGTAAAACAAAAGCTACAAATAATTCACTACATATGATAACATAATAGATTTGAAAGAGGAGCTGGGACTAAAAAACGCCCATGTAAAAATGATCTACAGCTGATCACTGTTGCTATGCTGAACTGTGCTCTTCTGGGAGTTAGTTTTGCCTGAATGTCCCCGCGCTCAGCAGCAGGGGGCAGTCATTAAGCTGGAAGAGCAGAAATCCCAAATGTCATCTCCACTAGTGCTCATGTAAGCTCTGTTATATTACACACACTCATACAGTACACTCATCCAGAGCTAGAGGGCGCCGCAGCATGTTGTCAATGTGTTTTTGTGTGTTTTGCCCTTCATGCATTTAACAGTAGTCACAGATGTGTATGGACCCACCTTTATCACATCCCTGTTCGTCTGGTGGAGCAGGCCAGAGGGAAATGGAAAGAAATAGAAAATCATTAGAGGAGATACACAGAGCATTTTAAAGGTCTTCATTTGGCATTTATAGAAAAACAATACGGCATTGGCAAACTACTAAAAGTCCTGCAATAGTAGAGAAAAGTTTGTACCATTTTCAACCACTAGATGGAGTCTTAAGTGACACAGATTTTTAGCCCACACAGTACAGCATGTATTGGTAAGGTTTTATTTAATTCCAGTACTACTACTATTACTACAACTACTGTTTCCTCCACTGCTACTTTTACTGCTACTACTACTACTATTTCTAACCTATTTCTACTTCTTTAAGCATGTCATTTATACTTAGACACTATTTACCCAATATGTTTTTGATAAACCTTTCTTAACAGGCTTGGATAGGATCGCAGTTCACATATAAAATTCTCCATTCAAAATATGACATATGTTCAACCCATTACATAAGCAAACTGCATTAACCAGTAATATCTAGTGCCTTTTCCCTTTGGCTCTAAACACATCAGTGACAGTGCCAGAAGGATGTGCTAACATTTAAAGGTCCTGATGGGTTTGGGGGACATAAATCCAGGAGCAGAGGAGCGAGGGCCCTGAGCTGTTTCTGTGCAGACTTGACTTACTGCTATAAGCTCCTGTATTCTCACTTTGGCTCAGGCCTGATCACACGGTCCTCAGATTATAGTTAAATATCCAAACACCTGTTTACAAACTACAACCGGATCAGGGGATGTTACCTAACCTGGAGAAGTCAGCCACAACAAGATAACCACCTATTACTAGAATTTAATGGTGCCAATATCTCAAAATCTTTTTCTTTTTTTTGCCTACTTATTTTTATTATTAATAGATTTTTGTTGAGTTGTTTAAGTTAACACGAGGGTAGAGGAAAAATGGAAATAGAAATATATATAATGTGTCAACCAAGAATATATGTATGTATTTTTTGTGTGAAACTTGGACATAATAAAGTATATATATATATATATATATATATATATATATATATATATATATATATATATATATATATATATATATATAATATATATATATATATTGTGTGTGTGTGTGTGTGTATTATATAAAAAAAAAAAAAAACATGAAAAAAATCCTGTACTTCTCTATGGGCAAGTCCCTTTTTAGATAATTAAAAATCCCAAAAGTTCAGCAAAATCTGTTATAGATTCATTATGTACAAATTGGCATGCTATTTTTATGACTAAAGGTTTGATTTATATGATTTCCTCTTAATCTTAACTTTGAATTTTCTTCATTTTGTGTGTTTAGTTTTTGTTTCGTGTGTAAGCCTTTTCATTTCTGTAATAAAACATTATTGTTTATTATCTTTACTTCAACAATATTATCTTAAAATGTGTTATCGTGACAAACCTACAGATGGCGCTATAAGAGAGATTAGTTCATATCTGTGATCCTTTACTCCTGCAGGGCTGCGAGGAACTGAACCACCATGTAAGATAATGCGTATGAGAAATGCCAATTATCAGCCAAAAAGGTCTATAAATGTCAATGTAAACATTAGAGCAGTAGCCAGAAGAGATACAGAGACAGAGGAGTAACTGAGTGCATAAAAGAGGACAGAAGAGAATGTTAAGTGTCATTATTATAGTAGGAATGATATATAGAGTACAGAGAACTTACAAGACGATTTTTTAGGAGATTTGGGGTTGGGGAGAGTGCCCATTTTGATCCGGTAAGCCAGCCGTCTGAAGGAACAGGCAGAAGAGCAGAGGAGAGATGTACAAAAAGATTAGAGAATATTTAAAGAAGAGATCACCGGAAAGTAAGGATAAAGTCAATGTTAGGCCAGAGCATTCAAGTTGTAAACATGAAATTTGTTAGTTGAAATTTAAAAAGGTAACACAGTTTATCCATGACCAAAAATGTGGGTCTACCTTGGCACAAATGTCGACAAAAATCTTGTGATCTTGTGACAATCAGCTATTCCTTTTTTTTAAATGCAGCTCTGTGCTCAAACATACATTTTGTCCCAACCACTCCTCCTATTGGTCAGACTACTTCAAGTTCTGAGTGAGTGACAGGTGGATTTGACCAATCACAAAGAAGTGTGATCTCCCAAAAGAAGCAGATAGGTATAGTTGCATCTTAAAAATAAAAATAAAATGCTACTTGGTGTTCATGTGTCACGATTAAATCAAAATTGTAATCTAGGCTCAATTAATGCTCACCCCTAGCTTTTACAAATGTATGTGTATTGTCAACATAGCAAAAGAGTTCGGGGTCTTACCTGATTTCAGTAACATAACAGTTAAAGTTACACTGCTTAACTTTTAGTTGTATGATTCCATAGAAATAAAGAGCAGAAATAGAGAGGACATATGTTTTTTAGCATTTTTAAGTGCTATAAAATCATCCAAAATGAAAAAAAAAAACACGCTTTTATGCCCATTTTTGTTTAAATATTTTTAGACAGATTTGATTTCAGAGTAAAACATGTAAATAGAAAACAAACTCTGTGGGGCCAGTCTTACAAGAGAGAAAGAACATTACTGTAATTTATGTATATCCTGCTTTATACGGTTAAACGTATTAGCAAGTGTATGCAAATCTTATATGGTTTTAAGATTATTCTGATGGATAAATAGTATAAGAAACATTAAATCAAATTAATTCAGCCATGCTGCTTTCCTGATGGTTCTAGTTTTTCCTACAGAGACCGCTCCTTTGAGTTGAAGCGTGAGATAATCCCACAGAGGCTGGAGTGTTGTCATGGATTTACTGCCCGCTGAGATCATCTTAAAGCAGATTATCACACTTACACTACACATCTGTACGAGCCTATGGGAACATGTGGTCCACTCTTCCCCCTCAATATGGAGCACGTCACTTTAGATTTCAACTCTAACTCGTTCTATAGGGGATATTCACGTCAGAGGATGTGAGAGGGCACCAGCTGTTTGAGGAACAACACGGAGAGAAAAGGCGAAAATCACATCTAAAACTAAACGAGGAGGAGTTGGAGCCAAAATGTAATAACACATATAACTACTACAACTACTACTACTATAACTACTATTACTACTACTACTACTACTACTACTATTACTGCTACTATTATTACTATTACGACTATTATTATTACAAATTACTACTACTACAGTTTAATGTAATGCAAAAACTTTCATGTAACTGGAATTTTTAAATGTTAAAGAGCTTAAAAATTTGGTTTAATGTTCAATTTGAAAATGCATACATACATAAACAAAGAAATGTGTGTGTTTAATCCCACTTCCTTTTTTCTTAAATATAAACTACAGTTTTTAAAGTAATGCCAAGATATTTCATGTAACAGAAATGTACAGACCTTAAAATGAAGTTGGTGTTATTACTTACAATTTAAAAAGAACAAAAGAAAGAAAAAAGGTGTCATTTCAAATTCAATGTGTTTTTGTAGCCTGTAACTACAACAGCGGTCACGTCACAGGGCTTAATAAAATTGTTTATTTAACCAACAAAAAGTTAGAAAATCAGTGAAGCGATAGTTGGTTAATAATCCTTTTCTTCATGAAGCTTTTTAATTTGTTTTCATAAAGGTTTTTAATTTGTTTTTGTTTGGATTGTTATTGCTTTCTTCATAATGTGGAGCCATAACAGACCCAGTTCAACATTGCGTTACGTACCTCTCCTGGAAGTGTTTGGAGGGGATGAGCCCGGCCCGCAGGTTGCTGTCTCCCACTCGTTTGGCCTGCCACCAGGTATGGTCGTCCTGACTGACCACCTGCAGGATGTCCCCCTTCTTAAAGGGAAGCCCCGCCTCCTGACAGGGCGTAGCTTTGTCCTCTATGGGGATGTAGTCGAACAGCGCTCTCATGTACACCTGAAAACGGCAGGATCAGTTTGAACCAGCCAGGAAGATGGGACATAGATTTGGATCAATATTTAGTACAACAGTCTTTGAAAATGTTGGCAAAGACAGTAGGATTTCAGACCTTGCTCTCCTTCAGGCGGTCCTCTTCTTTGATGGCTGGGATTATTTTGAGAGTGATGGAGCCCTGGGACTGGGACTAGACCAAGAAGAGACAGAGAGGAAGAAGAATCATTTGAAGATACGCACAAGAAGATATAATGTACTGTACAACCGTAAAATGTAACCTCCACAGTAATGTAAAGATATTTCAGTTTACCACTGGAACATTCTTGGTCTTAGACTTAGACAAACTTTATTGATCCACAAGGGAAATTATGTGGACTGCTTGTTAGCACAAACATCTCCATGGAGACGATCAGGTTGCTAACCCTCCACCAGAAAAGTTACACAGTGCCTCTTAATTAAGCTGTTTGTTAGCACTTACATGAGTCATACATCTATCCATTATTTATTATTCATTCTACAATAACAAAGGTAAAACATTCCCCTTAAGTGCAATTAACAAAAATAAATGAAAACTGAGCCCAGAATAAATAATTCCCTAACCCAATAAACTGAATAAGCCAATAGAGTTTTTTAGACCCACGGTAGGGCTGGGCGATATGGATCAAAAAATATATCTCGATATATTTTGCTATATCTCGATATACGATATATATCTCGATATATGTACAAGAAAAAATAACCCCCTAAAACTGAAAATTGCAAAAACAAATCTGCCAAATTCCACAAGGTATTTTTTTTTATTAAAGTGTAAGAGGTCAGCAGTTCATACAGGAACATTTAAGATGACAAAAAACCCTAATTACATAAATAATAATTTAACTGTTAGATAAAAGAAATAATACATATTTCCTTCATTTCATTCATAAATTAAACAACTCAACACAAGCTCATCTTTGCATTAACACTGTTATCCAGACCAGAACCAGAACCATAAACATGAGCTCCTTCAGCAGAAGAAGCTCAGGATGTTCCTTATTTTAACAGATCCATGTTATTATCCAGCAGTAAGGAGCTCTAAGGTTTCCCACAATCCACTGCACATCAAACCCAACGTTTCCAAAAACTATTGTACAAGTTACACTACAACAGATTATTAATTCAAATCTTCTGCATAAATAGACATTACATTACTAAACTTTACAAGATATATAGCATAACGACTCTAGAGCCACATTAGCCCGTTGAGATTATAGTGTTTTTTGTTTGTTTGTTTTTTTTGTTTTTTGTTTTGTTTTTTTGCAGCTTTGCGCAGACTTGTTTACGTTTTACAGAAACGAAACTTAAAAAGCGCATGGCTAATTTGCATAAACAGCGCACTCCACGTGCCGCTCATGCGGTTCAACTTCTTTTGGACAAAGGACACGACTCAGTGGAATATGAGGATGTGCTGCTGATGGTTTTGTCTGTAAATGGTGGAAAAGTTTCGTGGCGCTAGAAGCTTTTCACTGGCAGCAACTTTCGGCATTCAAGGTGATAGTGAGGAGTGAATGAGACATGAGAGAACAAAATCAGGGAGGCGGGGGCGCGCAGGCGAAGACAGAGAAGACAAACAAACGAAGCGGCGAAATCAGAATTGAATATAAGCATTATATCGATATATACGATATGTCAGAATTCATATCAAGTTTAAAAAATATCTCGATATATTAAAAATATCGAGATATCGCCCACCCCTAACCCACGGTAAGTCATCTTAAATATAGCTTATCTTACCAGTAGTTGGCTGATTTCGTCTGGCCTTTTGTGCAAAACTGAGACTCCATTGACTTCTCTGAGTTCATCCCCAACATGCACCAGTCCTGTGAGGAGATATGCTCAGATCAGTCCTCATCCTTTTCCTCCTCATCATCTTCATCACTACTGTTTATACAGACTACAGCCAAAACACTGAAACCCAACTGTATCACATATCAATAGTGTTTCCCCAGTGGACTGGAGCAGTGTCCATGTTATTGTGTGTGTCTATAATGATGCACTCAGGACAAAGCCTCCAGCTGAAACCACTGCAGGGCCCCTGTGTTATCGATGAAAGCAGAGCCAGCGTTTGACACAGCAAGAAAACCAGAATCACATTAAAGATTCATGAGACAAAGCCTGATCATTTTGCATTCGCACCAGGCATGTCCCAACAGGAAAAGATGGGCATACCTCAACCAACAGAGGTCCATATTTTGCTTTGTGAGTTGTTATGTGGTGTATTGAGTATTGATGTGAGCTTGAACTGAAGAATATTTGGGCTATTTGGGGGGATCTATTTACTCTCTGGTGGCTGTACTTTTAAAGTTTGTAAAAGGTAATGATTTTTAAAGAAAATACCTGGAACTAAATCAGTGTCATACTGCGGAAGATTCAAGAGCAATAACATCTCTTCGGAGACAAACAGATGGTGGACCTACCCTGCGCTAAATGCTGTGTAAGAATGAATAAAGCGCAAAAACTAAAATCTAGCTAAGTTAAAATGACTTGAATTATGAAAGTTTTATTAGGATTCGGGCAAATTTGACTTGTGATTTACAAATGGAACAAGACTTAGTAGTTAAAATATGAAAATATTCTAGCTACACTTAAGATAAGAAAAACAACAAATTCTTGCACTCAAAATAAGAAACAAAATCTAAAAACACTTTAATCTATTCAAATAAGTCTGGAATTTTGGACATAGGACCTCATTTCCTAGTTACGTGTGGAGACACTTTTTAAAAAAATATTCCATCCAGTCCTTGTATTTGCAGAGGTCTCATGTGCTAGGCTAGTGCATGTCAATGGCCATAGTTATCCTGCCACTAAAAACAGTCTTACCCACTCCACAAAACACCAGAAGGAAAACTATTATTACACCAGACTGTTGATGTAAATATCTGTGTCAATAATAATGTTTGAAGTCAAACTAACCTTGCATCGCATGAACTGTCGCATGTTGAGGGACTATTTTCTCAGCAGAATTTTACTTTATTGGTAAGATAGCTGCTAAGTGATATCAGTCAGTCGCTGCCAAGCTTTCTATCAGGAAGTACAACTCACTGCTGCTGCTCAGACATAAATCCTTCAAATGCATGGTTGGTTTTACTTCTAAAATGATTCTATTGACACAGACATTCACATCGACAGTGTGGCGCTGTGATTGTTTTGCCTCGGGTGCTTTGTGGAGTGGGTAAGACATGGGTTGGGTAAGGCCATTGACATGCACTAGCATAGTACCAGCGACCTCTACAAATACAAGGACTGGATGGAATATATAAAAAAGTGTCTCCACACATCTCCAACACTCTGGTTAAATAGGAAATGAGGCCCTATGTCTAAAATTCTGGACTGTCCCTTTAATTTAAGTCATTTTAACTTAGATAACCTAGATATTACTTTTTTCAGTGTAGGAATGCTATAGTAATATGTATAAGAATTGTATTTACCGCTGCGGTCAGCTGCTCCTCCTCTCATGATGCGAGCAACTAACACAGCTCCAGAGGCTTCATCTCTTCTGATCGTGGCTCCCTGCAAAACAAAAGTGAAAATAATACAATTCCTTCTTTTATAACAACATCACATATTATTCACATTTTTTCACATTTTCCACTGAGCAGAGAATCCTTGAGATGATGAAACCAGTGGTACAACTCTGAGCAATATGGCGCTAACAGAAATACGCTTTTGAAGTGTCTGGGAGGAGAATTGGCAGCACTGAGGAGGTAAGAGCCACATATATGCCATGCCTTAAGTCACTTCACCACTGACAAGCACACAGATGAGAAGTGAAGGTGGTTATGGAATAGAAATTATTTCAAAGTAAGGTAAGGACTGAATCAAAATTAAACCAGGACTAGAAGAGATACCAAATTTCGTCAACATTATGAGTAAACTGAGGCCAAACCAGCACTGAACTCAAAAGTCAAATGTGAGTGCAGTCAAGTTCAAAAAGGCAGATTTTATTATATGAGATGAAAATATTGCAGCTTTAAAGGTCCTATGATATACGATTCCCTCATCTTGAATACTTCCAAAGCTGTGTTTTGTTGTGTTATTAGTCTGTCTACATCTCCAAAGCTTAAAATGCTCTTAAAATTATCCAGATTATCCAAATAATTCCAATGATGGTGTATGGAGTTTAAAAAGACATGACATCGCAAGGTGAAACAGAGTGTTCACAGTTTGAGAGAACTCAGCCTAAATATGTGTGAATGAAACACAACACAACACTGGGTTTGTTTTTGTTGAGGAAAAAACATTATAACACAGGTCACAGCATAATATGGAACCTTTAACATGACAGAACACCAGCAACTCACGAGTGGCTCCTTGTTCTTGACCAGGCGGACGATCTTCACAGACTCTTCATCGAGCTCGTCTTCGTAGTCGTCGGGGAGCGGAGGGAGCACCGGGTCAAAGCTCTTTTGTGCTACTGTGTCATGGACTGATAAGACTGCCTGTACACAGACACAGACAATGGAGTTGGGGTGAAAAATATATCTTAGAAATTACACTAAAATACATGAAGAAATCTTTAGGTAGCAGGACAGACTGATTGTAAACAGACGTGTGTAGAGTAGCCTAAAAGTAAAAGTTAAAAAGTATTTAGGTTAGGATTAGTGTCATAAGAGAAAATATTACTCAAGTAGAAGTAAAAGTATGCTGCTACAAAAGTGCCATCAAAACAAAAATTCTTTAAAAAGATTCAGCGATATAGAGTACTACCGAACCACAAAGGTACACTGTGTAACTTCTATGGAAATGTCATTGCTCTGCCTGAAATATTCCACAGTACGACATTAAACAGCTCTGTCTTACATTTATTCAATTACAGGTGGTTTTACTGCTCAAAATTATTTGAAAATTTATATTAAAAGTTACACAATGCACCTTTAAATAGTCAGGTGCAAATCAAAAAGTCAAAAAAGATTTTCATTTAACAACACATTATGCAGGTCAACTGTTTCTGGGACAATTTACCACCACATACATTTCAGTTACTCGACCAAAATAAGAAAAACAAAGTATGTGAATGAAAAATCTCAGTGTTTATTTTGTGTGTTTTGGTTCACAGGCCAATCATCCAATCAGAAAGCAGAATGCCACTGTCAGGAGCATTATGTCATTTCTAAATGTTGAGCTGGGTTTTGTCAGGTCTACTGGATGATTTTACCTACTATTTATTATTGACCTATATTATCTGTATGTGTCTGTCTTCATGGAGACCAAACATGACCAAGTTATAGGTCAGATCTGTGGAGAGGCAACCTTTCTCACTTTCAGAATGCCTGTTTTTCTCAGCATTTTTTAGCTAGAAAAAACAAACAAACAAAAAAACCTGTGACATACACAAGTGACATAGTACAATTTAATGATGACTGTGAAAACAGTTTTAAACCAGTACAGACATTACCTTCAAAGCACATGTTTCCTTATTTTATTAAATTATTATATTAAATAAGATACTGCTTTTGATCAAATACCTTTAGATGTGGTGATGTGAGGAGATGTAGCAGTTCCTTCTCCTCTGTGCTCATTGGTCCACACTGGAGCTCCTCCGCCACCTGACACACACACACACACACACACACACACACGACATTACATTGACTTGCATTCATTCCCTGCAGATTGATCTTAAATTTAACCATAGTTACTACTTATCTAATCTTGACTTGAACCATAACCTTAACATACAGTATTTTAACCCAAATCTGAACTTTAAACTAGGGCAAATACCTAAAGTGTTCTGGGGGAAAAAAATGCAAATTGTGGTTAGATTTGTAATTCATGTTTTAATACTTGGATACAATGTTCAAATTTTTAACACATCCAGAAGAATTTACATTTCAGAACATGTTTGTAAGTATAAAGTACAGGGTTAGCACTTTTTGTTTGGGGAGGAAGTTTTTGAGTCTTTGAGTGTTTAGAAAAACGCTGTATAAATAAAATGTATTAATATTTATTTCAAAAATAAATGGCAGCTTTTGTGATTTTCAAATTAACCTTGTAGCCCTACTTTAAAACCTGTTATAGTTCTAAGTATTTATATCATTTGAACTTGATTTTTGTTCTCATAAAGACAGGAAGCCCCCCATGAGGTGAGTGTGCGCACAGATTTCAGTCCCTACTGTAATAAATCCCCACCCACACATATACATTTAAAGCGTGACCTAAAGTAACCCCTGCAGGGCCCGTGTCCATCAATAATGCAGCATGGCGTGTCGTATAGAATAAGATCAGACATCTCCACACACACAGGGCAGATAAGCAGCGAGAGGCCCCACTCAGCACTTTGGTCTGATAACGCAGAGAGCTGGAGATGGAGTTTCACTACATCAACATCGACATGACTCAGCACTTTCAAAACATTTACATTTCTGCATTGCATCTGTATCTATGCTAAAGATACACTGTGTAACTTTTCTAGCTCCATAGAGATGTTATCGCTTTGCCTGGAAAGTCCCACAGTATGGCATTAAACGGATCCACTTTGGTTTTATGGGATTTTTATTGCTCAAAAATGCCTTGAAAGCTGGATCACACCTCCACAGATCTGAATAGTAACTTATCATTATGTCTCTACCTTCTTTTCTCCATATAGATAGATAAGTTTAATGCCATAATGTGGGAGATTCCAGGAAAAACAATGGCATCTCCATGGTTCAGAAAGACTATATGAGGCCACAAAGACCTTTGTTTTTGTAAAATGCTACCACCCTACCACATAAAACCTGCAATTACTGTAGTCTGTATAAAGGACTTGGTGACTGTTCTGAGTGAAAACAAGTTTGTTTACTTAAAGAGACCGGGTCTGTCTCTCTTCATCTCAAGGTCTAATCCAAAACCAAATAGATGGTGATTTTTGTTTGTGTGTATTACTCACATCTTCGGCGAGAGTAGCTGCACTGTGGAGGATGGGACTGGGGCTCTGTCTTTCATACTGTCTCAGCTTTTCATGAATCTGAAAAGAAAGAACAGCAAAAGAAGGCAGAGTTCTGTCAGCTGGACACATTTTTAAGAGGACGACCTTGGACATCTTCTAGAGAAAGAAGTTACAATCTGTTGTAGATTTTTTTTTTCAGTTATAGATATTCATGAGACACAAAATAATTGTTAAACCCATGTTTGAAATCCACAGTGCAGCCTTTTTCTCTAGATGTATTTAGATGTATTTCAGTGCCTTGTTGTATGCACTATGCCATTACTTACTTTGCTGAAAACACAGGAAACAGTTATTAAAGACAAACCATGAGCAAAGCAGTTTTGCATAAAAGCAGATAGAATTAATCATACATAATGCACACGCGCACTTAAATCAGCATACAGTGTGCTTTACAGGAAGAAAAAGGTACTTACAACACAAGGCTCATGTGGCTTACCATTAATCGTTCTTTATTTCTGTGTTGTTGTTTTTAAATCAGATGCTCTTCCAGGCACAAACATGTATTATTCTTGCATTTATATACACTACATAAGGCAAAAACTGGCTTGGGTTTATACTGCACTTGACAAGCTACACTCATTCTCTCTGTATCCATAGCTGCCAGGGCTGATTTTTGCCAAAATATAGAATAGACAGACCATGTGTCTTGCCCAACGACACAACAACAGCGTGCACTACTCTAAGTCAAGACTGAACTGCCAACCTTCCATTTATAATTGTTCGATGCTTACAAATAACAGCATGTACTTTTTAGTCCTTTCTATAGGATTTAGGAGATGCTATTCTAGTGCCTAAAGTACAGGTGTATGTGAATCCAAACCTTCATGAGGTAGGCCAGGCTCCTCTCACTGAAGACGTCTCTGAGGAACACCATGTCCTCCTTGTGGTTGGCATCAGGCCTCAGCTGAGACGTGAGCAGGGCCAGAGTCTCATGGAGACCTGTGCAGGAGGAAGAAGAGAAAGAAAAAATAAGAGAAGAAAAGAGAGAGAGAAAGGGAGAGGGAGAGAGGAAGAGAGAGATGGAGAAAGAGAGATGAGGGTTAGGGTGAGAAAAAGAGAGACAAAGAGATAGCAAGGAAGGGAAAGGGGGGCAGAGACAGAGAAAGAAAGAGAGAAAATGGGGGAACAACATTAAGAGAGAAAGAGTGGGAAAGAGAGAGAAGGTCAAGGTTGAGAAAGAGAGGGACAGAAAGAGTGTGAACAGACGTTGCCACAGCAGTACACACACACACACACACACACACGGGCCACACAAACACACAGTACTGGACATGCGTGGGACTGACCTGCTCCTGCTGACAGCACCGGCATGGCTCCTCACATGGGTCAGCCCGGTCAGAGGAGAAACCTGCATCACAAATCACACACATGAGCAGCAGAATAAGTAAGATGTTAGCACCATTCTTCGTGTATGATACAGCTCTAATTTACATTTTGTCCACTTTTGTGTTTTAGCTGTTCTGTTACAATCACATGTATGGGTGGGTTTCCTCCAAACACTCTGATTTTCCCCTTTAACCCAAAACATGCACCATAGGTCAAATCCTCCAGCTAAGGTAAGACTAGCAACAACATCTGGAGCTACAGTAGGTCCTCGACCTGCTCCTGACAGGTTGGATTGGTTAAATGCTGAGAATGTATACCTTAACCTTAAAGGGACAATCCAGAATTTTGGACATAGGACCTCATTTCCTAGTGAGCCAGAGTGTTGGAGATTTGGGGAGACACTTTCTAAAATATTCCATCCAGTCCTTGTATTTGCAGAGGTCGCTGGTGTTAGACTAGTGCATGTCAACAGCCATAGTTAGCCTGACACTAAAAAAGGTCTTACCCACTCCACAAAACACATGAAGGAAATCTATTATAACACCAGACTGTTGCTGTAAATGTCTGTGTTGACAGAATAATTTTTGAAGTAAAACCAACCTTGTATTTGAATGATTTATGTCTGAGCAGCAGCAGTGAGTTGTACTTCCTAATAGAAAGCTTGGCAGCGGCGGACTATTATATATGAGAAAATTGTCCATCAACATCCAACGATTCATGCGATGCAAGGTTAGATTTATTTCAAACATTATTCTGTCGACACACACATTCACATCGGCAGTCTGGTGTAATAACAGATTTGCTTCGGGTGCTTTGTGGAGTGGGTAAGACTGTTTTTAGTGGCAGGCTAACTGTGGTAACTATATTTTAAAAAGTGTCTCCACACGTCTCCAACACTCTGGCTAATTAGGAAATGAGATCCTATGACCAAAATGCCGAACTGTCACTTTAAATTTTAATCAGCTTGGATCTTTTTAATCAAAAACTCTACAGCAGTTTACAGTTTAATACATGTATGGAATTATCCACTTTTCTTTTCTTTTCTATCACCTTCAGGAAGCCTGTAGATAGTGTACGCCTGCTACAGACGCCTGCTGTTAACAGTACAGCACTATTACTCTCAGTGGAGAAAGGACCAGTGATGAACAGCTATCTGGAGGCACACGCTGCACTTATAACCATACATCACGCCCATAGAGCTCCCCTGTTATAAATCAGGCCTGTATTTCCCAGTATGGCGCCTCATGTGTAACGCGTGTACAACGTGTGCTGTGAGAGGAATGTTGCCACGGCGACAATAAATCACACTGTGTAATGTCAAGTGAGTACAAGAGCTCTGACAATGCAGCCAGAGCACTGAGCAGGGGCTTCAGCTTCCTGTTTAGACATTTTTAAGACTTATATTGTTTAGAATTTTTGCAGCACTATGAGCAATAGCAAATATATGTTTTTACAATGACGCAAGATATCTTTCATATTTTTAAGTCCCATTTGTAGAAAGTAAAATCCCAGGGAAACACTGTAAATACGTATTGTTTCTTAAGGGTCTGAAGTTAGTGTTTCCCAAACTTTTTTCTGGGGACCCATATTTTAAAAGTCACAAACCTTTGCCACCCAAGTCAATAGACATTACTTGTAAATCACAAAATAAAGGTGGATTTGATCATTATTGAACATTGATGAGGATATTTTATTGTTAACTGAGTGATTGTGTCGCTGAACTATTAGTATTACTCAAGTTTTAAACAATGAATAACGATTATTGAACCGGCATTAAAATGTATCATAAGTCACTTATTTTGACATTAAATGTAGCCCAATTCTTTTTCTTTTCAACATTTAATTGAACCAGCAATATTGGAACAAAATATTCAAAAAAATAATTACAAAAAGATAGACTATAGGCCATTCTTATTCTAATTTCCATCGCAGCAGCAGAATCATAAGACTCCTCCGCCTCTCCATCTCCTCCTATCACCCATATCACCAAACTCATAATCATACATTTTATAGCAAGCTTGAAATACCAGGAAGACACTATATTCTTCATAAAGATGCAGTAGTATGAACAGTCTGGATTATGGTAGCCCAAACAGATCAATATTCAATGCCACTTCTCGATTGCCCCTCCATTATTCTTCCATCTTGGGGTCAATAACTTAATCTTTACACTGTATCAGATCACAGTACTGCCACACCGCATACACTGCACAATTTGTTAGCACAGTTATTTAAAGATGCAGTGTGTAACTTTTCTGGTAGAGGCTCTGTCAGTAGCTTGTCTCGTGGATATATAATTGTTATCCCTGGAATTTCCACTGTATTAAGTTGTCTATATTGCATTATCCATTATCCATTTACAGGGGTTGCCTCTCCACAGAGCTGACAAATGATAAATAAGTTAAATCCCATACTGTGGAGCGTTCCAGCCAAGCAGTGACATGACCAAGGAGACAACTACCTGGCAGACCCTACACCGGAAATGTCATGTTCCACTTTTTTGGGAAATTATTGCCCAGTAGATTCTTCATATTATTTGGCGACACACATTTGACAAATCAATATCAATACTGAGTGCGAGTGTGTACATGTTATGACAGTATACTGGATATTTAGAGTGGTAACTATAGCAACCATGGTACGATATGGAAAGAAGCTAAACATGTTGGTAACTTTGATAACTTAAGGCTTTTTAGCATGTTTCTAATAACAAAGAAAGAAGTACACATTAAAATAAGAACATAAGATTGTAGGGCACCGTCATAGTAAAAAAGCAACACAAACAGCCACAGAAGTTTGCCTGGTGTTAAAAGGTTGTGGACTTCTTTGTTTTGTTTATGGTGTAAAATATTATTTGAAAAGTCCTGGTAAAAGTTTGAATCGTTTAGGGATGTTGCTGCTCCTACCATGTCTGTTACTTCATTTCGCATATGCTCAGTACAGCTCCAGTGTTGAGAACTCAGGTTACCAAAGCCAGGCGTATATAGTGCAATTTTTGGCTCTTTTTGAGATGATTTTTCATGCTTCATGTAAGGAAGCATGGGGTAACGAGAACCCGTTTGAATCCAATTGCCTCTCATGAGGGTTTTGCTCTGTTGAAGTCATTCGTATCATGTGAGAACATGAATCGAGAGCTGCGAACTTTTAAACCCTGTCATTTGGCCGTACAGTTTGAGCTGGGGCTGAGTGAAACAGTCGAAAATGTTATGTATATGTATATGTGTACAATGTATGTCCGGCATAAGGATGGGACAACAAGTACAACAAGATCTCACGAGACAAAACTGCCAGTTAACAGTTAAGAGCTGGTGAGTTATATAATTTGAGAAGCTGTAGTTCCAAATAGCACTACTACAATGACCACTAAAGTATTACATAAAATAAGTAAAAATAGTGAAGCCAAAACTGTATAATGGATTGCACGAAATATTTATTACAAATTATGTACAAATCATATCTTGTCTCATTCTCATGGACCTAATCTTGCGCTGTGTCTCGTGCCTCGTCCCCCCCTACAGGATACTACGTCTATGCCACAGTATTCTGAATGAGAACATCCTAGTGACACTATCCTCGTTTCTCATAACTTACATACTGACTTATCCAGGATACTGAAATCAGACACTCACAAATCCAGGATACTCAAAAAAACTGGATGCATCTATACGCATTCAAGTGATGATTTAAAATACATTAATAGTGATTTGAGCAACAGAATGTAATTTTCTTCAATATTATTGTGTGGTCTAGTTCTGATACAGCTGAACACCTCTTCAAAACTATTTAGAAAAGTCAAAATTTCCATGTTCATAATTATTTTTAGTACTGATACCTGTGCAAATATCCAGTTTTGATGGTAGTTTTAGGTCAATTATTATCTGGGTTTTGAATTTTCAGTATCCCACAACGCATGTCCCTCTGTTCAACATGCCTTTAAAACAGCATGGAGACTTGTGCTTTAACAAGAATGTAATTAACCTTCACACAGACAGCACAGAGGAGAGTCTAAGTTTATGAATTATGCAAAGAAATGCCTGAGATACACAAAGGAGATAGAGCATAAAGCTGTTCACAGTGCAAAACTACAGCGAGGGTGTTTCATCTTGTACCGTCAATTTCTCCAATCCATATCCTATTTATGCCAAGCAGAATCAGCACAATGTACTTTAGTGAACACAGGACTACACCTATTTTCAGACACCATCTGCAGAACACCTTTTTTTTTTTTTCAGTTATTTTTTTATCAAAGAAAGTCTAGCGTTAGATCCCGCCTCCCACTGCACGGCTCTGACAGGTACAGTCGAACCTGACGTTGCCACGGTAATGAGCTCATTTACATAAAAGGCGGTGTAAAGGTTTTGTGGGCCAGATGCAAGATTATTTTTAGTTACAGTGTTTAGCTGTTTAAAGATTTCTGTGGCATCCAGACTTGCAGTAAGAAGAATTACTTTTATGTTTATGTAGGAATTTAAGGAATCATTTAAAGTGTAATGTCAATCATCTTCAGATCTCGAGACAATGTTTGTTCAGGACCTGTAGAACCAGACAACAGTAGATAATGGTTGGTGGGGATCTTCTAAATCGCCATATAGGTTATTTTTAAATTCACTTTAGTTCCAAATAGAAAATTCAGGGGTCTAGAGACTTTTTGTGCTTGTCGTTGGGTAGCCACATCCTAAAAATGGCAACCATTAGGGACATGTTTTTTATTTGAATACTGAAGGGCCTATGTTGTACTCTTTTCTGATCTATGTTATAATGGTGTATCCTCCTCAAAAACAGACCTGGAGTTGTGTTTTGTTTCATTTACACATGTTTAAGACACAAACCCTGCATATTTAGGTCGAGTTCTTCTCTCAAACTGAAAACACTAGCTGTAAACTTGAAAACCATCACTACACGACATCACAAGGTGGAACGAAACGCAACTGCAGGTATGTTTTTGATAAGGTAACAACATTTTAACATGGCTTAAAGCACAAGAATATTTTGTCTAA